GTGTGTGTGAATTCATCATTGTTGTATATTGAAACAAAGTGTATAGATAGATAGATAGAAAGAAAGATAGATAGATAGATAGATAGATAGATAGATAGATAGATCTGTTATTCATAACTATTAATCTTAAATTCCACTGTCAAACAGTTCACAAATCCCACTGAATTCACACAGTTCATAAATATCCGAAAACATACAGTCAGTGAAATTAACCATAAACTGCTTAATGCATTGACAGCTTGACAGCATCTAAGACTTGAGGCAAATGTGGCAGAGAGGAATAAAAATGTCATTATTAATCACTCATTGTTCCGCGTCTATTAAGGGGAAACACACTGCGTTCAAATGAAATCATTACAGCCGAGAAACTGTATGTAAACAGACATTTTCATGACCCCACAAACTGTGTGAAGGAATTTATCATTCCTGCCTTTGTGATGCTTTGGTAGTTTATTGATCGATTCTCTACACAGACACGCATAGTGGATTTTGGAATGAGAATGGATTCATTCGGGCTTTGTGTCTAAATGGGAGTGAATACATTCTGCCTTTCAGCTCAGAGACGGATCATACTGTAAAAGGCAGTCCTGACAGACAGCAGTGGCCGCGCTGATGCTGTGGGATCTGGTGATTTATGGTGATTGGTGGGATGCTCTGAGTCAGTTGTGGGTTAATGTTCACCTGGGTCACAGAGCCACTGCTGGAACCTGCCTGTATTCACATCAGGCCCTCTGACAAGACTGGCCTCAAGCTAAACCCACCACTCTCAGTGGGGAAACTGCGTCCTTCATAGCTCCTCAATGGATCCTAATGGTTATGTAAGGTGGCTATTCAGAAAGCTGAATGGGCTTGGGTGGAAGAGAAATATCAATCTTGTCCAATGCATTAACACAGCTAAACTCAGTACACCTCCCCTTTCCATGGTATACAAAAAACAAAACAAAAAACACAATATATATATATATATATATATATATATAACTATTTTCAAAATATGTACTGAATGTGTGTATTTATATATACATAATAAATAAACAGTACACATACATATATTATGTAAACAAAAACTTTTATTTTGGATGCTATTAATCGCGATTAATCGTTTGACAGCACTAATATATATATATATATATATTAGCACACACACACACACACATTTTTTAATCAACTTATGTTTACAAAAAACTATTATTTCAACAAATATTCCAGTACTTTCCTTTAATTATAACAAAAATGGGGGGAAATCTTTAAACTGTTGATATTCAAGAAACAACATATCTATCTATCCATCCATCTATCTAAGTTTATTTATAAGGCTATATTTTTATTAGAGGCTATTTTTCAATTAATTAATTTATTTAAAGTGTATTGCTAGAAAACACCAAGATCAAATCAGTGTTATTATGGTTATTACTAAAACTTATAAAAAATGTATAAAATAAAATAAAATATTTTGTTTTTGACCATAAAGACATGTTACAGTTTTTCTCAATTGCTTTGGCACATTTTTCGAAACAAGCAATTTGCTCAAATCAATAAGAAATTCCAATCTGATGTGAACAAGAAGCTAATTGTTCAGAGATCTGAACTTATTGTTTCGGGGAAAAAAAAGTTTCATTCGAGAATTGAGCCAAAGCAATTGAGAAAAACTGTAAAAATAATAAAAACCTTATAAAAATTACAAAGCACAACAAAATTACTAAAATGTTTAACTAAAATTAAAATGGACACAGAAAATATAAAAATAAAAGCTAGTTTGAAATACTAATAAAACTATAATAGTATATCAATGACACTAAAATAACACTTGATCAAACAAATCAGTATTTTAAAATGTATTTCGTCATGTTCCACATTTTAGTAACAGGGCTGCTGTCAGACTCTGTTCCATGTTTTGTCTGTGTCTTGCTCCCCAGGTGTTCCTTTCCCATGTTTAATTTGTCCCAGGTGTTCCCCATGATGGTTCATGGATCCCAGGTGTGTCTCGTCATCCCCTCCTCCTGTGTGTATTTAAAGTGTTCCCAGTCCCTAGTTCTCTGTCCGCTGTGAACGTCTTCCTGTGTTTGTCTCCCTTGGTTCCTTGGTGCAAATAAAGTCTTGTCAACATATTCTCCAGCGTCTCCTCGTCCCTCGTGTGTGTGTGTGCAACGTGACAGCTGCAAGTGCATATCGAATAAAAACAAAATGAAATAGAAATTTAAAATACAACTGACTATTTGTTGAAACCTAAAGATAAAACTTTTCAGGCCCCGTTTTAACCCTGCTGCTGGGAATTGTTTACAGTTTTTCTGAATTGTTAAAACACATTTCCTGAAACCATCACTCATTTTCTCAAAACCTGAAACACAAATCCAAATCCTCAAACTAAATTCACAAAACCTCTGACTCTTCCATCAAAATCAAACAATCACTGCAAAACCATTTCACTTGCACTCAAAATCAAACGGTGCTCTCAGATCACACACTCATGAGTCAATAAAATAAACACTACAGAGCATTCATTAGACACTACAGAGAAAAATGGAGAACACAGCATCCAGAACATTACAGAAAAAAGTATGTTGCATTGAGTAAACAATTGTGCAATTCTGTAAAAACGTATAGTAATTGCAACTGAGTAAGGTGAATATATTGTATAGGCCTACTGTATGTACTGCAAGAATAGTATTGTGCTGAATATTGAATAATGTTTGTATATATTCAGCACTTCGAATTACTGCAAAGTCCAAAAAGGTCAAATAAAACTCTAAATGAATAGCATTACAGTACACTCAAATACTGTAAGTTGTGCAATTGTAAAATCGGGGTCGATGAGAGATTCATTCTGTCTCAGCATCATGTCTTTGTGCTTGAGTCCGGCCTGAGGACTTTGTCCACATCACAAGTAATGTTGTCTTTTTTGCTAGACAAAGAGAAAAAACCCTCTGGTCTGACAGATCCAGCATTGATAACACTCTCTAAGCCTTACTCTTTCTCTCCTCATCCTCCACTTCTTGCATGTACTCTTCCTCCTCTCCTTCTCAGATTGTCTCCATCTATTGTTCGTATCATCATTCAGTCACCTGTGCCACTTGTACACTCTGAACTGGCTCATATTTTGTGCAGTTGGTTTGATCACATAGTGATAAGGAAGAAACAAAATCAAACCTGCTTTAAAACCCAGCAATACAACTTTAGATGCATAACTTTACAACAGCAACACTGCTTTAACAAAAAAGCTAAACAGCAAGACTTATTTGACATCAAAACAAAAATTGTAAATGCTGTGTAATCGCTCTTGCGGTACTTTGATGTCATACACAGAACGGTCTGCAGTGCTACTTCAAGTCCAACACCTATTGTGTTTTATTAGGAGATGCACAACAGTTCTTCTGTGGCTTTATAGGTAATATTTTCAC